AACTATGCCTGTTTTTCCATATGCCTTCCAACATATCTGTATGTAAACAATTGACTGTATCTGTGCAGCAGTGACAACGGAATTCCTTCACAGCAAACTGCCCTGCCATGTGTTTTGAGGGTGGCCCTAAGACTATGTGGAGCCAGATACATTTCTAGGTTCCTTTTACCCTCCCTCCTCCCCCATTCCCGTAAGGATTAGCTTAAGAACTGAGGACACCACTGCAGGAATTTGGTGTCCCTTGTTTAACATTTAGTCAAAGTTGATTTCAGGAAAGGCTGAATCTGCACGGAGGAAGAGTGGAAAAGGACACTCAGCAGAGCTAACTCTTCATCACCGTCTCAAGCAAATAATCTTTAGGCCAACTTTCATATCCCATCCATCAAAACAAAAGCCTTGCCATTGACTAGGGCCATACTCCTCAGAAGGAGCTTTCATCTCCCACCATAAGGAGTTTATCAAATTCTTTCCAACCCCACAACATTCTAATATCCTCTTTCTTCCATCTTACAATGCTTCCAGTGATGTCTGAATGCCCCCTGCAGACTGCCATCTGGCCCACCCCTTAGTCTGATTTTGGTGTTCCTGAGATGGTACCAGGCATTTAGTCTATGCCCTCTGAAAGTGACTACACTGGAGCTGTAATTATGGCATTTCTAGATTGATTATACCAAACTCTTGTACAAGGCAGGTAACAGCATTCATGATATCGAATCTTACATAGACTATATCCTTCAAAGCAGAAGAGACCAGAATAGTATGAAACCAGTCATCTCAGGGGATTAAGAAGACTTTGCAAGTCCTATGCAGCCTCACTCACCACGTGTCATACGATAAAGGATATCTGGTCTACCATTCAAACTGTATCATAAAGCATACCTCGTATGAGTATCTTGGCATTTCTCTTCGATTATTTCAGCAACCGAGGGGCAGAAACCTTTGAGTTTGCCGATAACCTCCTGGAGTTTCTCCCAACTCCCTTCACTGCTCTCAGCTTCATCTTGAAGAGACTAAGAGAATGTAGCAGGAGTGTAAGTTTTAGAATGGCCTGGCTCCTTCCAAAGAAGGCAGCAGCTTCTCAACCCTTGCTGCTACAAAAGATAAACACTCAAACCTCACAGGACTGTGATAAACTAGTAGGAATGGGAAGAAGAAAACAACTGAGAAGGCATTCCTACTTGAGGCAGAACCTGAAAGTACTAAGTAATACTAAGTACTCAGTACTTAGGTGTAATAAAAAAAAACAAAAAACCCCAGAAAATAAAACCTTTAAATTGAGAAATAATGTGCACATGGAAAATGAAGGAAAATTCAATGTACAGTTTTACGAAGTTTTACTGATTTGGTTCATGTGACT